CTTCTCCCGGGAACCTTCCTGACCCAGGGATCAAACTCAGGTCTCCTGCATTGCAAGCAGATTCTTTACCGAGCCATCAGGGAAGCCCAGGGTTAAATAAAGCGCTTTCTAATGCTGTTTTTTGTTTTCTTTGCCCTTGACTGTTACTGTCACTCTGCCTTTAAAAAAAAAAAAAATGCAGTTTTTCCATAACTGCTGTGAAATGCTCTTGAGAAAAGCAACTGTACAGCACAATGCTCTTGAAAGAAACCCCATCGACTTCATAGTTTCCTTTAAGTATGCATCAGCAGGACAAAGCCTTCCAATTTAAAGACTTATGAAACAAGAATACCCATCACAATCTTCTTACTTAGCACAAATACTATGATAGGAAAACTTAAGAATTATTGCTACAAAAGCAAATTAATTTCATTAGTCTCCAATCTATTTATATAAATTTAGAAACTATCCCTCCAAAGAGTGACTGAACTACTTGCAAGAACTGCCTTAGTTCACAGCTGCATTAAATACATTGCCTATTACAACATGTCACAGAGGCTTAGGAAGGAAAACTCTTCAGTCTGTATCTAACTGAGTTCTTGACCATTATCAGTTCTGTGACATTATATTTTCTTGATTTTTATTCTCATCTCTGGCAGTTCCTCTCAGTGTTTTTCATTGGATGACCTTTGACTACCCAATCCTTGAATATTGGCATTTCCCACAGTTTCAGCTCCCGTATTCTTTTCAACCATACGCACTCCTTGAATGAAATCGAAACTCACACCTAAGCTGCTACTCACCCATGGATGATTCCCAAACCCACACCTCTAACCTAGACTTTTTTCCTCAAGTTCAGCTTCATGGACCTGACTACCCAGTGAAAAGTCTTTCATCAATGCAAGAAACCAGGGGCAAAATTAATCTCATTAGCTTAAACTTTCTCTCCATCCCCATCTCTACTGTCTTTACTCTATATTCTGTTTCCAATTAAATTACAATATTCAACCAGATACCAGACATGAGAAGAGTTCTAGATGTCCCGTCCTACCTACTTGAATCACCTGCTGATACTTCCAGGTAGCAATCATTCACAAGTCCTTTGGATTCTACTTCCCCTTGAACCCAACCACTCTCACCTTAGTTAAATCCTCGTAATTTGTACCCTGATCCCCTGGAGGAGGAAATGGAGACCCACTCCAGTTTTCTTGCCTGAAAAAATCCCATGGACAGAGGAGTCTGGTGGGCTATAGTTCAAAGGGTGGCAGAAGAGTCGGACAGGACTGAGCAAGTAAGCCTGCACTCAGGACTACACGCCTGGTTTTCACACTGCTCCAGTCCTACCATATCCAGGATCTCACTTTATCAGTGTTTCCTCATTCCAAGTCTAAGCTCCCTAAAAGTCTGACAGCAGGCACAATCTGACTTTCACCTATATCATTTTCAGTGGAACAATTATGTATTTACTCTACAAAAAGAGGTAAACTCCTTACGTACACAGGCCAGGACCATCACAGTAAATATGCTGAAAAAATAAATACTTTCCCAGTCTTTCCTGAGATGCCTCACACCTACCTAGCTGTCAGGCATGCTAAACTCCTGGCAGTTCTGCCATCACGCCAGGCCTGCATGCTTCCATACCTTTGTATGGAACCTTTATGTTGAAACAGCTCCACTTTATTCTCCACCCAAGTAGGCTTTACATCTATCCTTCAGATTCAGTCAAACCATCACCTCTTTTAGAAAAAATTTTCAAACTATTACTATCATTAAATTAAAAAAATTTTAAACTATTGTGTTCTCATACACGCTGTATTTACTAGACTAAATTGTAAATTGCTTATTTATTTGCCTGTCTCTTCCACCAGACTGCAAAGTGCTTCAAGGCAGAAACAGTGACTATCTCTGCTGTATCCCTTGTACCTAATATAGTGTCTGGTACTTAACAGCCTCTAAATAAATATTTACTGAACAAAGCATGAATCTGTCTTACATGGGAATGTCAGGCTATGCAAAAAATCTGTAGTTTAAGTTGTGGTCAAACAAAAAACAAGAGATACAAGAATGTTCCTCTCCTAAAAATATATATACTATTCTATTCTGTAACATATTTTAGTTTCAAGAAGAAACATATGCCAAATGCATAGTTATCTCAACTCCATTTGAGAAATAAGTAATGTATGCACTGGTAATTATGAATATTTTTCATTATGTTTAGAAAGGGATAAAAGACACTATTTCTAGCCAAAAAAGTGTGTGTACCACACCAAAATATTCTACACTCATTTCAAAATGTCCTAAAATTAGTTATAAAAACTGATTCTAAAAAATATTTTCTTTCCAATTAGCTAAATTCAATAAAAACTATTTTTTCCAAAGGCTCAGTAAATTAAACACTGTCTTATCAAACCAATTTATGTCTGTAGATACCGCTTAAATCATTCTACTTTATATCAAGTTGTTTAAAATAGGCCTCTCATAAGAAAGTAAATAAAAGTAGATTTTAAGATCAATGGAGAGAGGCAGAGCCTTTGTCTGCATCTCCGCACTCTACCACACACATTAATGGAACGCAAATTATAATAGTAAATGTTATTTTAACAGAAGAGCTGACTTATTAACCACTTCTGTCAAAGTACCATATATGGACTCTCATAACCATGCTACTTATTTAAGACACAAGGTAGACAGCCAAAATGCTCGCCCACATGGAAGAAAAGGAAAATATCATTATGGCTCTCTTAACATTAAAGACTTGTTTCAAGCCTCCTCTTTAAAAAAAAAAAAAAAAAAATTTGGTAAGAGCTTTATTATCTGAAGACAAAAGCAAGGCTCAAAATTCACTTAAGTGCTCAACTTGGGGCTCCATCAGTACTTTATCCTCTTGTGGCTACAAATTTTAGAAGTAAAATACTAACAATGAACCAAAGGACAACTTTCACGTATGCTGAAAACATCTGCTTAACCTTAAATTAGCAAGTAGTTTTTCATAAACTGTGTAGAAATAATTTTGAGAGCTGCCACTATATGTCTAATAAACAACTTTAGTTTTATATTTGAGAACAAAAATTTCTACAATAGTTTTTTTTTTTTAATGGGAATGAGAATACACACAGATAAAAAGAGAACTGTCTTTAGTAATTTTTTAAAAAACTTTTTATTTTGTATTGGAGTATAGCCGATTAACAACATTGTAACAGTTTCAGGTGGACAGCAAAGGGACTCAGCCATACATACACATGTATCTATTCACCCAGTTAGAAAACTGAAAAGGACTTTAAATTTTCTTAGATTTTTAGCTGGGGATGTATTCTAAAATGATCATAATTAATACATAGTAGTATTCTGGTTCCTCACGATAAACAACAAAAAATTTCCTTCACAAATATTCTCCCTTCTGAGAGCAAAGGAAATGAACAACATTAAACCAAAACATAATGCTAAAATACAAGGGATTTAAATAGTTAAAAAGAAACTATATCTTTATTTGAAAACATCTCTAGAATAACTTCCTGGACAACATGAACATGATTTCTTGCATAAAAGTAACAGCACTGAGATTAAATATATTAAAAAGATGATGACACAGACTCTGAAATGCTAAATTCTTACTTCCACATAGAAATAGTTTCTTCTGCAGAAGCAATAAATTATAAACATAAAATGTTCTTAGGCTGTTGGTTTCCGATTTGTGTAGGATAGATAATTTTGAAAACAGGGGAGCAGAATGAGCAGCATAAATAAATTCAACTGTGGTATGAAAAATGTTCTAATTGGCCAAACCCAGTGTCAGTATCTTGCATCCATTAGACAGAAAGTCTGAACTTAATTTCTGTTTTAAGTTTCTCTTCAGGAATACAGGTTAAAATATGCATTCTAGAATAGTAAAGGAAGGGCCTGATCTTTTTGCTTTTCAACAGAGGAAACAAAGATCTACATATAATGTCATACTTTATAACTGAAATGGAAGAAAATGTATGCTAGAAAACTAGTACTAGTTGGATAAACAGGATGAATGATAAGTTTTTCTCACCCTGAACTATAATTTTTTTCAAAGTTGCTATTTCAAATCAATAACAAAGTTACAGAAAATAGGCTTTAGAGTGCTTCAAGTAAACAAATCCATAATTTCTAGTAAAAAAGGAAAACCTATTAAAACACTCCAATACACACTACACCCTCCAGTGGGCAAGCATCCATGGAAAAATATAAAAAGATTTAGTTGGATTTTCCACTCAGTTAAATCAGTCCTATAACTAATAAAATGATGGTTCTAAAAACCTCATAAAAGTTCACACTATTTTAATCACTTGTCTTAGTATCTGAGTTAGAAAAAGCAAAGATTTTTTAAAAGTAACAATTTAGATGTTATAGAGGAGTAACGTTAAGAAAATAAAATCATGCTCTGCTTATCCTTCCTTGAAAAACAAAGTGCTATCAAATTCTTAACTTCTTTAACTTACAAAAGAAAAAAGGTAAACAGAATAAATCACATATAAAGATGTATAATTAAAGATAAAAGTATTCTTTATACTATGAGCTGCAAAGGCAGCACTAATATTTTAAAGCAAAATCCAAAAATTATGGTTCCTTAGCGAGAACTGTGGCAGAGAAACAGTATGTTCATTAAGTTTTTCAGGAAAACAACTTACATTATCACCTGGTAATATTTATTATTATTGGTCTCATGAGGCTATGTGGTCACTACACAGAAATATAAACACACTTAGAGACTATTTAAAAGAGCCCTTATTCTATATGGCTAATGTTTCATGACTTAAATGATATAATAAAAGCAAAGACAAGATTTAAAGTATTCTACAATGGTCCAAATATTCTTTAATGTTTCTATAATTTACAAATACAAACATATATTTAACACATATCTAGAAATCAGACATGAAGACTACAGTTTCCAAAATGCATTAAATAATTTTTTAATACACTCTTGAAAAAACTAGTGCAACTAGGACTACTTGAGGTATTCAACTTAATCTCTAAGGTTAGGAGAACAGCAATTAAAGGACAACAGTGACATCTAGTGGACCTTAAAAATATATACCATACGTATCTTGGACCAAACCCTTTCCTTCCTAACGTTTCCCTTATTTCAACCTGTCTGACAACCTTTATGACAAATCTTTAGTTCTAAATCAAAACAAGCTGACTCTGCGCCCAAAGGCTTCTCAATATGAGTGATCCAATCATGTGATAAATATAAAATGTTTAATAATTGAAATATAAGAAGTAAATATCTCAAGGCTTTAAGCATTAACTAAATGTATCAAATACATGACTAACTGACTAATAAAAGTCTAGCAAATGGTCCAATATGACTATGATAATAAAATTTTTAATGATTCTGAATGAAAAAAGTAAAAGTTGAAAAAAATGTAAATGAAGAAAATTCAGAGCTGATCTCTTTATGAATTTATTCAAGCACAGGAAATACAAATTAACCAGCATGGTCTGTCAGGAGAAAATAAGAGATGCTTTTAAACTAGAATAAGACTCTCTCTTTTATGGCAATCTTTCAAAACCAAATTAGTTCTTGAGGAAATTTACAGAAATACTCTTTAAAAATAAAGGAAGATAACTCTGGAAGAAGACCCAAGTATTCGTCTCAAAAAGCAATGAATTTAATTTCAAAGAAGATCAAACAACAGTAATACCTGTGGACAATATACTTCCTTATTATTTGTTAATGTATAAGCAAATTTCACAACAGGAAAACACTGCACTTAATGAGAAAACAATGAAAGTACATATGATTTTTATTAAGTATTCTACTACTAACTCAGGGAAGAAATATAAACGTAGATAGATCTAAATTATAAACACCAAGTCAGAGTCCAGGCCACAATTTAACTCAAAGTCTTTCAAAAATTATAGGTCCTAGATTTCTCAGAGCCACCTAATTTAAAAGATTTTAATGACTATTTGAGCTCAAAGATTTTCTGAAAAGAAAAAAATGCAAATAAGGGTCACGATTTTCCCCCTTTTCAAAATCACTGAAAATATCTCTGGAATGTAAATATTTGGGGATTAATAAAATTCAGGTCACAAAAGCACGGTCCTATTGGCTTCAGAAAGTTGTCAGAAGATAAATAAATTGTAGTTTATTCAAACAATGAATTACAACTCAGGAATCCAAAAAATGAAGTACCAATACATGCAACAACATTGATGAATCTCAAAAAAATTACGCTGAGCGGAAGAACCTTTACATAAACGTATACTCTGTATGATTCCCTTTATAAGACATTCTAGAAGAGGCAAAACTGATCTGTGGTATGAATGAATGAATGAATAAACAAAATCACAACAGTTACCACTGAGGGTAAGACAGATATGGGGACTGACTAGAAAGAAATATGAGGTAATTTTCTGGGTAATGGAAAGTTCTGTATTGTAACAGGAGTTGGGGCTATACGGATGTATTATACATTTGTCAAAACTCACCAAATAATATAATTGAGATCTGTGCAAAACTTACATAAATTTTACCTTGAAAAATGAACCTTTAGAAATATTAGCAACTCTAGTTATCATATACCATATTTGGGGTGAAATGTAGAAATATCTACAACCTATTTTGAAATGCACATAAAAATGAGATAATGAACAGATTATAATAAAGCAAACACAGCAAAACACTAACAACTGTATAGTCTAGAATATGAGTATGGAGTTGGAGTTCAGTTTAGTTCTTTCAGCTTTTCTGTATATCTAAAATTTTCCATAATAAAATACTGGAGAAAAAATACAGATAACAATCAGAATTCAGAAGAAAATTAAAAATATAAAAAATATAAAGTGTTTTCTAAAATATTAACATGTTCCCTTTTTTTAAATTAACATTTTAACCTGTTTAATGTCGAAAGTGACCATCTTTTAAAACAGCAAATGTTACTGGACAAAATATTTTTAAAAATTTTAAAGACATACCCGAATTTCTTGAAGGTTGTGAAAATTATTTCCTACTCTGACTGAGATCTTGCTTGGAGTGTAGCTTTCATCAGATTTGTAATCCGCATAAATACATAATGTCTTCACTGTTGTTTTTCTTCTAAAAGCAATAAAGTAAAAACATGCTTTTATCATGTGCAAAGATTATATCCCAAACATCTTATCTTCTGATTTTAAAAGTCATATTTTGCTAAAATTAGTATTTGGATCAATGATTTCCATGTTCTTTAACAATAATAGAAATGAAGAACATGTGAAAAAACATATACACGTTACTTTTACAGACATCTCTCACCCAGAAAAAGGTCAAGAGCAAGATGCTAAAGAAGGACCAGTTAAGCAAAGTAGGTACCTCAGAGTGCAAATAAGCACTGAGAGTTTCAGTTCTCTTCACTTGTGTTTTAGACAAAGAAAATTATCCTAACAAGCTTGGTTTTCTTTTCTAGTTAGTAATTACTTAATTTCCTATGTTAATACTTGAAAATAACTAGCTAAGGGAGAAACTAAGTCTAGCAAAGAGAAAAATGTTTAAAAACTAGAAAGTATAATCTTATTACTTAGTGCAAGAAATAAAACTCTACTCTTTTAAAATATACATCTTAGAAAAATAAGTAAAGACTATATAAAAAAATCTCAGAAAACAGCTAGTGGCCAAAAAAAAAAAAAAAAAGAAATTAAAATATGTTCAATCTCCAATAATCAAAGAAACAGGAAATTAAAACATAGACATTGTTTTTTTTTTATCATATTGGGAAATATGAAAATAACTGATAATACCCAAATATGATTAGGAAAACATACATTCATGGCCATTTAGTAGACGTATAGTCTTTGACTCACAAAGAACTTCTAAGAATGCATTAAAAGACAACAATAACAAAACTACTATAAAACAGATAAAGAGAAATGTTTATTGTCCTGCAGTTAAGTCACTGAAAAATTATAAATAACCTAAATGTCCATCTCAATAGAGAATTAGCTAAACAAATTACAATACACCAATTCAATGAAATATTACACAACTATTTAATATAAACATAGATATATAGTTAAAGAAGGGGGAAAGGCAGATTATAAAATGGACTGAAAAAAAGGATGTCATTTTGGGGAAAAAAAAATTTTTTTAAATCATATAAACCTACATACATACAGAAAAAGACCTATATAGAACCATACAAAAATAGTAAAAGTGAGTATTTTGATGGTATAGAGCTTATTTTCTTTTTTATGATTTCTATATTTTCTGATTAATGTTTTAAAATAAGCATGTATTATTTTGGTCACTGGGGGAAAAAAACAGACAACGTAAACATCAACCAAAATAACCATTAAGAAGTCTATTTCAACATGATTTAAAAGTTAAGATCTGGTATAAACTGGCACTCACTTAATAACAATGAGCTACTTGAACAGAAGCAGTCTGTGTCAAAAGTCGGTCTATAAAAACAGCAGGGGATCTGTAGCTTAGTGAGGGGACCAAACTTCTATAGCCTAAGCTTTTCATCAGAAAGGAATGGGGAAAGTTAAGGGCTGTTCCTCAAGTAATAAAGACAGATCAAGATGTAAAACGCTAAATACTCAGGAATTGCTGACAGGATAAATGCCATTACCAGATTTTCAAAAGAGGCCAGCAGAGCGGTATCAAACAGACATCATTCTCTGTCTGCTGGGCCAGGAAGGAGACAGGAGGGGAAACACAGGAAGAAGGGGAAATTTTGAAGGGCGTACAAAAGATCTTTTCCCTGATACACCAGCCATTAACAGGCAGTGAAAGGTCTTTCTTATCGTGGAAAGATTAAAGATCATGAAGATGACTCTTAAGGAGTCCTTTTTCTTTCTTAACAAAAGCAGATCTAAAGGACCAAACTTTCTGCTCAGAATAATTTCATCTCTGTTATTAAATTCAGGATAACTTAAGTCACTGAACCTAAAGATAATCAGAGTTAGGCTAGAAAGGCAAAGGATAATAACAACACTAATGATTATAAACAACAGCAACAGCAGAAACAGCAAGTGAACAAGTGAATATACTCTGTGTCTGGCCCAGAATCAATGTTTTATATATATTATCTCATTGACTCCTCAACCCTGTGATGTAGGAACTATTATCACCTCAATTTTACTGATTAAAGGGGAAGAAAAAAAAAAGTAACACTCAGGTTAGTAACTGGCTTAAGGTCACAAAGCTGGTAAGTAGGCAGAGTCGGAGTTCACATGTGTCTGCCTGCCTCACAGGATCTTAACTACAATCACCTTTCTATTAATTGTATTTTAGCTTATTCAGCAGTGCTGTTGACACCATTTAACAGTAGTGTGTAGATGTTTATAATTCTTTAAATTTGATCTACATCATGGGTTCTTACCCTCAGGACTATGATTTAATGGCTCAGTCATGTCCCACTCTTTGCAACCCCATGGACCGTAGCCTGCCAGGCTCCTCTGTCCATGGGGTTTCCCAGGCAAGAATATTGGAGTGGGTTGCCATTTCCTTTTCCAGGGGATCTTCCCCACCCAGGGATGGAACCTGGGTCTCCTGCACTGCAGGCAGATTCTTTACCAACTGAGCTACCAGTAAGCCAGGTCTATGTAGCCCCAGAAATCACAGGTATAACATACTATATGTGTAGTTTCATCAGATTTGTGAAGCAAACTGTGCCTCACCAAAAATTTAAAACTATTATTCCATAAAGCCTTTTAAAGTTATTTACAAATTTTATCCCGTGGTAAATTTAAAAAATAATATTGCATAGAAAATCGTGCTGTTTGTCCAATGCCAAGGCATGTGGGAAGGGTATATGCATAAATTAGGAGACGGTGACAGCTACTCAGATTGCTCAAATCATCATAATAATCACCATAACTGAATGCTTACTATATGCCAGGCATCTTAGGATAAAGTACTGCAAAAAGGGAGAAGAAAGAGTGTAATACTTTCATTCTGATGACATAAGTAATCTTCCCAGCCTTTCTCTATCCCCTCACCCACTACTCTCCCCTTTCTCTGAGAAAGAGTTTGGCAGGAAGCAAATATGCACTTAGATCCTTCACATCACACATTTAATAGGGGCTGGCTCCACCCGTCTAGCACTTTCATGACTGGATGGGTAAGTCTGTTTAATTTTAGGGTTCAATGTTATTGAACCCTAAATATAGTTTGCCAGGCCTAAAATATTTACTGTCTAGCCCATTACAAACAGTTTGCTGACTTCCACCCTAGAGTAAAAGGTAGTCTAGGTTCCCGGTAAAGAGGCTTAAAGTCAAGCCTAAAAAAGATCAAGTTGATTCTTTTTTTTTTTAATAAAGAAACTCGGGTGTTTTTTTTTTTTTTTTTGCTGAGCTGGGTCTTTATTGCTGCTTGGGGTTTTCTCTAATTGCCGTGGCTTCTCTTTTGCAGAGTACAGGCTCTAGCGTGCACAGGCTTCAGGAGCTGTGGCACGTGGGCTGAGCAGCTGTGGGGCCCGGGCTCTAGAGCACAGGTTCAGTAATCGTAGTGCACAGCAGGTGGTACCTTTCCAGACCCGGGATCAAACCCATGTCTCCTGCATCGGCAGGTGGATTCTTTACCACTGAGCCACCAGGGAAACCCCATCAACTTTATTCCTGAGTAACTGAGCTGACTGCCAGAGCAAAGTCTAATTCCCTTTAAAGAAAAATCTAACACTCAACTTGGTAAAGTTTACTATATCCAGCATCTAATCAAAAATTACTATGAAGAATCAGAAAAACATGACCCATAATGACGAAAAAGCAGTCAATTAAGGCAGCTAAAGAAAAGACAGAAATGATGGAATTAAAACATAGCAACTTAAAAAGAGAAAACATAAATATGTACCTATAGGTATATAACAAACCACCTCAAAACTTAATGACTTAAAAAATAATCTTTTTGCTTGTTTATGAGTCTGGAACTGGGACGGGCCCAGAAGGGAAGGCTCCACACAGCTCCGGGTGTGACTACCTGACTTGACAGCTGAAGGATGTGCTTCCAGGTGGCTCACCAATACAGCCAGCAAGCTGTACTGCTTGTCAGCTGGGAGCTTAGCTGAGGACTCGGGTTTTGATTAATTTTTTTTATGGGTTTCTCTATTTCATATAGGTTTTCTCACAGCATGGTAAATGAGTACCAAGGGAAAGAATCCATTAAAGAGACAGAGAACAAGGAAGAAACTGACTTTTATGACCAGGTCTTAGAAATAACAGTATTATCCATATTCTATTAGACAGGAAATCCACAAAGGCCTGACTAGTTTCAAGAGAGGAGACATAGATGCCATCTCTGGATTAGGAAGCAGCAAAGCTAAAGAAGAGATATGCAATGGGAAATAATAATGTGAAGTGCCAGTCGCTCAGTCGCGTCCAATTCTTTGCAATCCCATCGACTGTTCTGTCCATGGGATCCTCCAGGCAAGAATATTGGAGTGGGTTGCCATTTCCTTCTCCAAAATAATGTGAACATACTGGAAAATATTGTCTCCCTTTCCTGGAAATCACTGGGAGGGACTGCAAGATCCAACCTTCTTGTCATATGGCTGATTCTCTCCAAAACTAGCTCCCACCCTTGAGCGGAATCCAAAAGTCTCCTTCCCTTAAGTGTTTTCAAGAACCTGAGAGCAAGAAGTCAAATATCATCCCAATGCTCTTATCATTCAGGAAATTCCAAGGGTTTAGGGAGCTGTAAACCAGGAAGTATGAATGAAGACCAAGTATATATGAGACATCTGAATAACCAAGGATGTATTTTTCTTACAAATCACACTATTGCAATAATGGAATATTGGTAACAACTTTGGGCCAATAAATTAGATGAATTTTGAAAACTTATCAAAACTGATTCAATAAAACAGATCATCAACAAGAACCTACTATTTAGCACAATAAAAAAACCTCTACTCAATATTCTGTAATAACCCATATAGGAAAAGAATCTGATAAACAATGAATATATATATATATATATATATATATATATATATATAATTTAATCACCTAGCTGTACACAACATTGTAAATCAACTATACCCATATATAAAATAAAAATTACACTAAAAAGTAATTTTAAAACCTGCCGACAACTGAGGCATAAAAACTGTATTTTTCTGG